AAATGTTTAACTGGATTGAGCAACCAGTTTAGGGTATTAAATCACAAAAACAATGTGAAAAATTCTGAGCAGCCCCGTGAAATAGACTGTAAATGTCTCATATAGAGACTTGGTTGTTTTGGAGGGTATTTTCCTCTGGAGTTTATCTGTTGGTGTTGGTAGGGTTTTTTTTAAACTATTGGTATGTTCACAGCTTCATGAATGCAGTTCTAGGTCTTAAACAATTGAGTATGAAGGACTGCATGAAGTACATATTTTTACACACCTGGTAAAATGGAAAGTCTTGTCTCTTCAGAAAGGGGCTAATTCGTGATTGCTCTCCAGTTTTGGCTTCTCTTCTCCTTGAAAGTACCATATAGCTTCTGCTGCCCACAGTTACACTGGCACCAGCAGCTTTCTTCATTCAGTGCAGTACAGAAATACTATATACAATGTAGGACAAGGTTTTCTGTACTTTAAGGTCCTTGCAAGTTGGATTCATCAGGGAAGTCAGAGTGAGTTGAAGAGGCTCAGTACTCAGCAGGAAGAAAATGTAGGTGCTTTCATGGTGCTACAGCAAAAGTTACACAGGGAATTAACACACCCTACAGATCAGGGATGTGCATCTCTAAACTGCACATCAGCAAGTCAAGAGGGAGCTGGACTGTGCTTTCACAAAAATTAATGAACTTCAAGTGTAGGAATCAGAGTTAGTAAAACTGGCTTTCAAATGGGAGCAGAAATTCTGTCGCCACAAAGCATGTTTGTGTGCACCTCCTTCTCTCCCTGGGTCCGTCCTGCACTCCATGAAGATCCCTTTCTCTCCACCAGCATGAGCCGCAGGTTTACAAAAGGAGACTAGAGAGGTATCCTACAATCCAGTAAGGTGGCATATTTACCTTCAGTAAGTGGCCTTCCAGTGAGAATGGCAAACTTTCCTTTGTGATGCAGATGCCACTTTGTCTCCATCGAGTCATAAGCATCTCACTGGCTACCTTGGATGACTTTGAGTGTGTCCTCTGATTTTACACCACCTTTGCAGAAACTCAATTCAAACAGGCATGGATACTATTCTGTTTAGGTTGCAAAGCTCTTCCCTCTTAGTCTGAATTAAGAGATCCCTTCAGGCTCCTCTCAGTGGACTGTCTAGTCTGCACGGGGTCTGGGAGTCTTGGTGCTGTAGCCACTAAACTTCAGAGGGTTTTTTGGAAAGCAAGAGAGAGAAAGAGAATGCATTTTTCTATTTCAGACCAGAAAAAAAGGTTCAGAGATTCCCCAGGTAAGAACAGAATTACATGAAGTTTTGTCTGCTTGACATGAAATGAACATAAGGTACTTTTACAACAGTAATTCACCTTTTAGAGAACTGCTTTTGTAAAAGGAATAGCTTCTGTTTTTCTTCTTGTTAATGCCTTTAGGCAATTCCCGTGGAAGGGAGCCGATCTCATTGTTTTTCAGTGCCATGTGAATATTTGTTTTACAAGTAGTGACCTTGTTCACACTGCCTGCAGTGGCTTTTTTAAAAATGGTGTTTCTGCCTTCAGGGAAGGGAGAGGGCAAGGTAAACTGTGCAGTGTTTGCAGATATTCACTCATGCATGATATTTTCAAATTGTGATTTACCCGTAATGTGTGTAACTTAGTCCTTGCAGTAAGCTAATTGTTTGGTATAGGACTTTAGAAAACAAACACCTTTTCTCTCTTGTGCTTGAATAGCTGAAGAAAACATTACAAAAAAAGAGAGTAGGTACAAATTTTTACTGGTACCAGTCAAGCAGTAACAGTGGAGAAGTAACAGTGCACAGATACATATTCTACAGCTGTGTGCTTTACCTCCTCATTCCCACCAAACATCTTCCAAGACCGTGTCTGCTAGAGATGTACAGAAAGGCCATATTTTGGGGATAGTAATGGACTGTATGAAATGAACTCTGATGAACACCTGCTCCCAAACACAGCATTTCTTCAGTTATGTGACTTTAAGTGAAACCCAAACCCATAGTTAGTGTTTCTTGTATTTAATTGGCAAAGTAGGCTTATAGTGCATACGCTGAATACTGGCCATATGCCATAAAAATTATGCATACTTTACAAAGAAAAATTAATATCAGAACTAACTCCCAGTAGACCTTTTTCTTCCCCTCAACTCATTACAAAGCTCAGGCAGACAGGGACTATGGTGCCAGCAGATCAGTAACGCAGAGAAAAATTCTTGTACAGTATTTGTACAATGGTTTTGTATATGTGACACCCAAAACATGGGTGATGATACTCCTGACAAATATGTGTGAAGCCCTTGTCTCTTGAGATTTCTGTGCGTGCTGGAGATTATTCCCATCTCTAGTGATCAGTTCAGAGCAATTGCTGCTGTCCAAATCTGACTTAAATCAGTTGGGAAACCACAGTTAACTTTGAAACTCCATGGTGTTCTGGTTTTGATTGAACTTCTGCTTAAAGAAAAAGAAAGTGTGATTATGGAACAATATGGACAGCTACAAGTCCAGTTGTTCCTGTATCTACCTTCAGTGTTCAATTTAAAACATTACAGTAGCCATCAGGGTAGAAAATGGTGGGGTTTCTTTTTTTTTTTTTTTTTTTTCCAAAAATGTTGTAGATTATATTTCTAGTTTTCCCTTTCCAAATTAATGCACTAGCTTTCTGAGCTCAGGGACATCCTCAGGGTATTTGGCTCACCACTTGAAGTGTGGTGTCCTTTATTAAAGGCTGGACAGGTTATCAGCAGTGAAAAGCTTAATATTGTTTGTACGTTGAGACTCGCAAAGGTTTCAAAGTATGCATTAGCTGTACAGATGGAATTTGTTCACCCACACTGTTACATCCTAGGATATGGGATGACACAGCCTGTCATGTCAGGCATCTCCTTTATGTTAATAATCCAGGCTCATTTCAAACCAGCAGAGAGGGAAAGGCTATTCTGCAAGGCAAATCTCCTCACCCTAAGGGTGGGGAGATCTCAAGGATGGTGGTCAAGCCTCTGACATCAAACACAGAGGAGCCTTCACTGCTGAGCGGATGGCAGTCTGTAGGCCAGCCTTTTGTCAACACTGGGTGCAAAGTCCTGTTTGAACTGGTGCTAGCTGAAAGAGTGTCAGACTACTCTTAAAACATGACCCCTTTTCCTGTCCCTGGACCAGACATAAATTTATCCTGGTCTGAGAGGATATAAATCATGCTTCGAGGGGCCAGGAAAAAGGAATGTGTTATTAAGGGGAATCTGTACTCCACGTTTGCATTGCATTAACACTAAGAGGCCCCAGTCAAGATCAGAGTCTGTGGAGATATGACCCAATGTGTGGATGCAAGTGAGAAGCAGGAGGGAGCTTCAGTTTTGGAAGAGGTCACCAGAGGGTTTTTCTTGGCCTGTTAGAGGAGAGCACCCCATACAAGCAAGGCCGCATGGAAGAAAGAGAAAGAAGGCAAGGTGGTGCGCTCTCCCAAGTACTGAGTGCTAAAAATGCATTTGCCTGGAAGGTAATGTGAAATGCATAGAAATGAAATGTGACAGGACTGTATCATACTATAGCTCAAAATACAGAACTGGTATTTGTTCATAGTTGATCTGCTAAAACAGTGCTTTCTTCAGATTCAGTGTGTACAGGAAATGGTAGAATGTCACACATCACCTATTATAAGCATACCCCTTGGGTGCCTCTGTGTTAGAAAAGGTTTCAAGTGTCAGACAACTTCTCTATAGGTGTTTGCAGCTTTCTAGTCAACTCCAGTGAAATCAGTCAATAGGTAGTAGCATTGTTTCACATTAGGATATAAACTGTCTCTCAGAAACAAAAATACTAGGATTTTTTTTAAATCACAGTGACAAAATTCCTGACTTCTATATGTCTGGAAATAAACAAATACCATGCAAGAATCTCCACCACTTTTTACAATTTGCAGGTTCTCTCTTCAGTTAGTTTTAGCCATTTAAAATTTATGGGCATATTGTCAAGTCTAAGCTTCACCTGCACACACTGTGGACAGACTGTCACCACCAAAGGGGCTTATCCCTCTCCTTGGGGGGATAAGTTGAGTTGCTTTCTGTGAGCTTATGAAAAGTATATCCTTGGCAGAAATTGCATTGGCAAATCCTAAGGCTGTGATTACTTACCCTTCCCTGGCAGCCTCCCTAATAAACAATGCTCCTGCCTTCTGTAGGTATTCCCTAAATGCAGTAGGGAGTGAGCTACAAAACGCTATGGTCGGGGTGATACTTTCATTTAATAGCAATTTAGACACCTAATGGTATTTAGCAGCATTGGTGTCCCAAAACCTCTTGCTCATCTCAAGCAGATGAGCCCAACTGCAGGAGATGCTAGGCTGGCCTCTGGACCAAGGATTCCTGTGGACTCAGTGGTGGAAGTTGTGTATGCCCAGGAAGGAACAAAACCTCCAACCTCCCTGTTCCCTCTTTCCTGCAGAGTCAAGCCAGGGTAGCCACAGCTCTCATTTATGAGCAGAATTTAGCCATTCACCGTCTCTTTGAAGAGAAAAAAGTGGCTGGACTGAGGTCTTGGATAAGCATAGGGCTTCAGGTTAAGCTTCACTGAAAAATACCTGCTTCAAGGCAATTCCTTGAGGAGGAGGAAATATCATCCAGGGCCTCATTTTATCAGCAATCTGTAATGACTGTCACACCCCAAAATTACTTGAATGCAATTAATGGAATAAAAGTTACTGCACATAAATTACACGTTTTCAAGGAAACACATATGAGTTTTGCAGAAATTTTAGGCCACTTCATGGACAGGGGTAGGAAAACCCTCACTTCCTCCCAGGCTGAGTGTGGGGTTGTGTGTCTCTGAGGTATGTATTTAAACTCCATTCTCTCTGGCAATCAACAAAATACAGGGTCAAGTGATTAGTGCTTGTGGTAGCAGCAGATAGAGAGCTCAAAGGACTTGCCAGATCCTCCCTAGCCTTACTTCTTGCCTCACATACAAGTACACTTACCAGTCAGAAAGAAAAACACCCTCTGACCTGAGTTTTCATTCTTATCTTTTGCAGCCACTTCCACATCTACAACTGGGACAAGTCATCTCACAAAATGTGACATAAAGCAGAAAGCCTTCTGTGTAAATGGGGGAGAGTGTTACATGGTTAAAGACCTCCCAAACCCCCCAAGATACCTGTGCAGGTAAGAAATCTATGTGTTTCTTTTGTTAGAGCCATCAGGTCTCACAAATGTTTTTTTCTTTAGAGGAGCACCTGAAAAATATCTTCTTCTGAACTTGCATTTCTTCATTTTTTAACCGTGTGGATGTGGAAACAATGCCAAGAATAAGTTTTGTGTTCTACAGAGGCATATGAAACAAAAAGCAGAGGCTAACTGGGAAATATGTCTATGTGATGGTGGCACAGCATCTTCTATTGGTGTTTTTATGACACAAAGTAACACAACTTGAGCCTTATATTAGAAAAAATGAAACAGACACTGTAAACTAAATATTCTACATTTAGAAAAAAAAAAAAGTGTGGAAAACTGCATTGAATATTGCACTTCATACAGAAGAAACTGTTACTATAGTTGTCTGATGTAGTAACTAAACGATTTCTGGTGAGACCATATTCACAACTGTTGTTGTGTTTAATTGCATAAAAAACAATGAATGTCATGGTCATGGTGGAGGTTACAATTTTGTGTGCTGATCTTAATTCATTAAATCATATGAGTTTTGTTTAGGGGGGTGCTGGTGCACCTTTCTCAGGTCCTCGTTGTGCTGTACTGGCCTGCTGCAATAGTCCCTTGCATCAGAGAACATCCACCAAGAGCTGCAGCACTGGAATTTACCTCCTGTCTGGGAGGATGTCATGTAGCTTTTACTCCTGAAGATGAACTAGTCATAGGGACTTCTTCATACTAGCTTAAGAGGAAACTCAACCTTTAAACCTTGGGAAGCATCTTGGTCCTTAAGAGGGCTGAGTGAAAAGGGTGTGCTTTTGTGAGGATATTATGTTTTCAGACAAAGGGATAGTGGTTGGTGAAGACCAATCCCCACCAAACTTCACAGTGTTCTGGCTTACCTGTAAGTTTCCTCTTTTTTTGTAGAAAGATGTTACTTGCACATCATGGGCTTTGTTTTGCTTTGGATTTTCATGGATTGCTGTACTGCTGAAAGCAATGAATGCTCCATTGAATTTTAGGATCATTTTTAGCTAAAGCAAATATGGAAAAGTTATATGTGCTATGGGTTGGATTGGAAAGAAAAAGAAATATTTGTGTTAAATTTATATGGTTTTAAGCCAGCATTCAAGATGAGCAGTTTGCTATGACTCTCCAGAGCATGTACAAGAGCCTGTGTGTTTCAGCTTCCTATCCAAACACTGTTCAGAAAACTCCAGTGAATGGCAGAGCTGAGCACTGAGCAAGCTTGTTAATCATTAATATTGTCTTACTAGTAATTTCAGAGGTATCCCATCTTCACTGGTATGAAGACTACTTTATTTGAATTCAGACATCTGTGTATGTTCTGTAATGAAGTTATAGACTGGCTAATTTTTTAATAAAATGTCTTGGGGAGATTTGAATGAAGTGGGGACTGGTTTTCCCTATTGTGGACTATAAATAACCTTTAATTCTAGGGCTGTATTTCAAGGAAGAGGCAATTCCCAGATTTGGCAGATGTGCCTCTGCCTGGGTGGTCCAAGACCTATTTGGAAAAAGCATCAGAGCTGTAACTTAGACAGGGTGAATCTCATTTACAATAAGGCAGTGGAGAAGGATTCTTACCCTGAGAAGTGCCAGGGCCACCACTATTTTGCAGGGCCATTTTCTATGCCATCTAATACTTGCCAGAATAAAACTTTTATGTTGTGTAGTAAACGATGCATTACAACTACATAAGAAATAAAAATGAGTACTTGAAAGTTGATGTGGTGGGAAACTGAAGGGACAAAATGCAGTTTTCTTCTTACTTCTTTAAAAATAAAGATGTCCGCTTTTGATTCTAACATCCCAGTTATCTAAAATAGGTATCTAACCACTACACATTGTCTTCATTGTTCTAAGAAAACAAATCTACTCCCAGAACATGCTTGTGGAAACAGAATGCTTGAAATATGGTACTTGCTCTTCATATTTCTGCCTCACTAGCAAGTTCACATTTTTCCATATGGTCCATCTGTTGAGAGCAAAAACAAAATTTTTAAAGCATGAGCCATATAATTCTAAATTGGTTTTGTCCCTAACCAAAAAAACATGACTCAGATTCAAAACAACCATGAAATTTTCCAAGTAATCTCTGGTTTTTTTTAATCCCCTATTCTACTTAAAAAAAAAAAAAAAAACCACATTCTAAACTCGTCCTTAGTTAAAATCTCACAATGTATTAAAAAAAATATTAAATACATAGTGATGATCCAGATAGGATCAGATCTTGCTCTTCTGGATATTGGTGTGAACTTCAAGAAAATTCCCTGCTTTCATGAGGTAACTATGTGAAATGCTCAGGAAATGTGTGAAGATATAGTAAAGCACTGTACAGCTACATCTGTGGTAGCATGTATTTTACCCACACATACTTTAATTAAGGTCCAAGACTGACTAAAACACTCCCAAAATAGGACAGATGAAATAGGAAGCTTTGACTATTTAAATAAACTAGCGTATAAAATTTTTAGAAGCTTCATAAAGACATGAGTCACATTTTGAAAACATCATAGACTTAAGAAGCCTGGATGTAACTGGCTTCCTATGAGACTGAGATCCCTAAGTCATTTCTGTTCTGTTGGAAATGCGTCCCCACGTTTACTGTAGAAAAAAGATTCCAATAAATGCAAAATTAAGACCAAAACTCCTAGCATTTCGTTCTTACTTGAAAAAAATCTATGTGAATATAAGATCTGTTATGGTTTTGGAGTGTTCTTTTGAAGTATCGTACCATGAAGGTCTTGATAGTCTGACTAATTGATTTATGACTTGCAGACATCATCTTTTATAGTGGTTTTGTTATTACTGAAGAAATGAAATTTATGACGGAATTTCATTGGATGAAAATAATGCTGCTGTCTTAACAGAAGTGTGCTGCTGCTTTTCTTAACAGCAAAAGAGTGGATTATGTACTTTTTAATGATACAGCCATTTTCTACATCTCTCTCCAAGTAAAGGCCTTTGTAGAATAGAAACAGGCAGAATTTTCTTCAGATCAGCAAGTTTGCAAGTAGAAGTTCCAGTATTCATCCAAGACACAGGATAGAAAGACTGGCTCTCACTTAAGCCATGAAATGGATTACTAAGTAATGTACTTCCCATGGGAAAAAAAAATAATTCTCTCCCAGAATGCATTTATTTGTAAGCAGTGAATGAAATGGAAATACGAACCATTCAGCCATTCCTCTCCTGACAAAAAACAGTCTGATGATCCATGTTCAGTGTTCTGAGAAGCGTCCACCGAATGCCTGCAAATGCTGCTCTTTGCAACTAGTGCGTGTAGAAGGAAAAAAGAAATTGTTCTATTACATGTGGTTCATGATTTTGGTTTCACACAGTTAATACAAAAAATAAATGTTTCAAGTAGCCTTTTTTAAGGCAGAAAGAAAATTACAAGACTCTCACAGCACAAACATATACCTTTTGCTCTATGCTGTTTGACCTCAATTTTGCTACTGTCCTAAAGGAAAATGGTACATGGATAATGATCTAGGGAAAAAAAAAAAAAAAAAAGAAAAAAAAAACAACAAACACAACAAGAAATAATGTCTGAAAACTTTGAGGAGGAAAAGGTGTTTGGGAAAGGACACCATTGCAAGCTGATTGTAAAAGTATGGTCTACAGGAAACAACCTTTCAAACTGGAAACAGTGCTGCACTGCACATCTGAGCAATAAAATGCCTTTAGCATTCACACATCATCATAAGTGGACAGGCTGATGTCAGCTTTCCTCGCAGCTGGCCCACGCTGGGCTCATTCTCGAGGGCAGGTGCTGCAGCCCATTTGCTGACAATGGTTTCAGAGCAAGTGTAAACACACCTGAGCTGTTTTCGGTGCCATCTCAACAGGGCTGACCCTGCTTGGTCTGGAAGTGATTTCTGCATTGTCTATACCAGTGCTCAAGTTGTTTTCATCACCTCCACAGCTGCACCAACATCTGAAAAGAAGTATAGACAAAGCAAGCAACCACCAGCAGCCAAAGGCAGGAGGAAAACATGAGGCTTTCACTCATGTTCCTTGGGAATTCATAGCATTTGGCCTGGTGACGAAGATGTAAAGGGCCCTATGAACTGAGAGCCAAGCATGCGAAAATGCCAACTTTCCAGGGACAGCCATTTAACAAGATCAGTAGTGCAAAATATTTTTATTCTTGATTCAGTACCACAGATCAAAATGCTTTTTATCAAAAGCACTTTGCCTTCTCTCAAAGGTGCAAAAAGTCTTCTGTCATGCCCAGCAAAAACATCTTCTAAGACAGAGTTACCCTTGTTGCATTTTTCTCAGCTGGATACGTCTGTGGAGACTGGGATCTCTCCGCACCGGGTACTCACCAAAACAGGAGGCTTCAGCTCTGAAGAACTTAAACTCTCTTCTTTAATAAACAAATATATCATTACAGAAAATCAGGTTCAAAGAATCATCTGCGGATCCTCAAAACATACCTTTATTACACAAATATCATTCCTGCATGGTTTGTTTGAGCAAGATGCTAGTGCTTATCCCTGACACTGATCCTTTGCCAAAGGGATTTTCCAAAAGTCTCGCTCAGGCAAGGGCAGCATCCCTGTTTTTTAGGGCTAGAGGCAATTGTGGAAAAGCAGAATTTAAAATACTGGGATAGCTTTCAGCACACATGAAACTCAGACAGATAGAGATGGAGGATTCTTCTGACCAGTAAGTATTTGCAAATAATAAGGCTTTTTAGCACATGGCAAGTAACTTATGAGGAAGTTTGAAAAAGAGGCTAGCACCGTGTCATCAGCAGGAGAAAAAGAGTGGGAGATTCTTGCGCAGTGGCAAACTCATGGAAAGCATCACAAAGACACGTGGAAGGCAGCATAATTTAAATGTTTTCACAGGAGCAGATATCAGGTCATTTCAGGTTAATGCTGAGTAAGAGTGGAGAGAAGAAAAAGAAAGAGCAAAGATTGAAATCTGTCTACCTTAGTATGGTAGACAGTCATTCACACTTAAGTCTGAAGCACAGGAGGCCTGCCTAGGGTGATATTTTGGGAGCCCTGCCCAGCATGGAGAATGAAGGTGAAGAAAGAATTCATGAAGGCAGCAGCAGAAAAGCTGGCCAAATCATAGGTAAGAAATTCCTTCTCTGTGATCAAGGAGAAAGCTGCACTGAAGTTTTCTGCAGAAGAGCTTACGAACTGGAAGGACAAATAACTCCAGGGCTGCAAATATTGAGAGCACTTCTGCCCTCTCATTTTACTTATTTTTTGGATTGACTTATTTTACCTTCTTGTGAGCCATGTTGAAAATGGCTCAGACCTTTTGGGTTTGACTTTGTCTTCTGACCTTTCGGATTTTTTCAGCTTTTCTGAGATTGTCGTACTTGCTATTCCTTCTCAAAGCAAATTACAAGAAGACACAACATGCCATCATAGAAATGAGAAAATAATGGTATTTTCATAGATTTTATGTGACTAATGAAAGCAACAGTGTAAATTGTTGTTATGCACTGCATTGCGAGTTTCAAAAAAGAGCTCAATCTGGGCCCTTCATGAGATGGAAGAAGCAGTGAGCTGGTACACATTTTTGCTAGTCACGATTCTTCTATCTTTTTCAAAATAGACAAAGAAAAATACTTATTTTTTTTCTCTGATGGATTTTTGCTGTAAATTTTGCGGAGTTTTATCTTCTGGAAAGGTTACACTTTCCTGCCTCTCTTCTCATCATTTGTCACTAACACCCAACCAGGAGGTCAATTAATGCACTCGCACTCCATAGACCAGCAGATGTAAGTCTGTTAGTGCAGTGGTTTTGGTGTACTATTGCTTATCACGTTTTTGCCCTTTAGGTGCCAACCTGGATTCACTGGAGCAAGATGTACTGAAACTCTGCCCATGAAAATCCAAAACCAAGAAAGTATGTTAAAATAATCTGAACTTTGCTTTCTTCCCCAACTACAGCAACAAAATCAATAGTACTTGGTGTTTTCACAGTTCAGCTGGAACCGGCCTCTTTAGTCACTAGTTTATAACCTGATTTTCTGAAGTACGATCTGTACACCATGGCATTATTGACCTCCAAAATATTTCTCGTTTGTGCGATTTTTGATCTTTCCATTCATTCACAGATGCATTTGTTTTGCACACGCTGGCAGTTTTCCTGTTTTGGAGACTGCTGCAAAGTGCTACCCTAAAAGACCAAACTCATGGAGATGAGTATGTACAGAGCTTGTGTCCTTGCTGCCTTGTGGAAAGAGCATCCTAAAACCAATCTGGGTCTCTGGAATGGTGAATTTCTGTCTAAGATCTTGAAACACATTTTGATCTGGATTGGTTTGGTTTTGGCTGGTTTTGCAGGGGGTATTTCTTTACATTTCCACAGAGCAAACGACTTGCTCTCAACATCCTGAGGTATTTTGACACGCTAAACCGAGATTCAGTTTCTGAAAGTGAACTCACCAAGTCATATCAGTTCACACTGAAGGAGCTTCTTTCTTAGCATATATTCACCTCTTCTCTTTTCTCTGTTTTTTTCTCTACCATTTTTTTTTGTTTGTTTTTCCTCTCAGGTGCCCAAATGAATTTACTGGTGATCGCTGCCAAAACTACGTAATGGCCAGCTTCTACAGTACGTCCACTACTTTTCTGTCTGTGCCGCAGTAGAAGCATGCTCAGTTGGTGCTGCTTTCTTGTCGCTGCATCTTTCCTCCAATTTTTTTTTTTTTTTTAATCTGTAACTAGATTTGTTGCCTAAGGCCTAATATTGATTGTCTCTGCCTGTTGCATGAAAGTTATAACAAAAAGCAATTGCAAATTATAACAGAAAGCAATCCTGAGATTGTTCGGCATTGAGGGTAGGGGGAAATGCAAGACTTAGGAATGCTGTGAAATTAACTCTGAATGTGTGATATGGACTCCCTGGTGACATCAAACAGAAAAAGTACAAAAATGAAATTTTGAAAGTCTCCCATTTTATTTGCCACAAGAGGCTTGTGAGTCATGATACAGGCCAGCACTCCCTCAGCCAAAGGATGAGTATCTAGTCCTGTACTTATATATGACATTTAGAACTAGAGGTTAAAGGTAATTGAAGTGCTTACATTGTTTCTGCAGAGCACCTGCCAAACAGATCAAAATTTTCTTCCTTGTCCAAGTTTCAGTGGAGAGAGCACAGAAAGAAAAAGAAAAGAGGAAGAGATTACTTATAACAATGAGGTCTTAACATGTTTTGGGTATATTGTGAGTTACAGGTGCAAGAGATCAAAGATTAATTGGCCAAATAAAAGTATCAGACACACACATATACAGGCTGCTAGGATCAACGCTGTGGTCACCTCCCATAAGGTTTCGTATGGAGAAATGGGTTAATTATTATTACTTGACAGGGTGTAGCAGAAGGTACACCATATATTTATTTTGTCTCATTGGCTATAGCAAAGTTGAAGGTAACATACAAGAAAATTGCTTAGGTCTTACATTTAAATGCATGTGCACTACTTACATTCAATTGTTCCTGACATCAGAATATACTGTGATCTAAAAGCGGTGTTATAGAAACTGGTTTTTTGATGGATTACTTGCCAGCACAGAAGGGCTGTAGGCCAGCTTAATTTAATTTCCATTAGTATATGGGACAAAAGCTGTAAGTATGTGCTGGACACTTTGGAGCCTGAAGAGATGCACAGGTTTTCTCTTATACTGATGGATGAAAAACATCCATACATAATTCATACTTTCCGTCATAGAAGCTACCCACATAAATCCCAAGAGTGCTGACTGGGGGACTGGACCTTCCAGCACTCAAATGTGCATTTTTTATGCCCTGCCTTAGAAACTTTATTAGTGTGAGTTATATTTAAATATCTCTGGTGATGATGGCTTTAAAAATTTTTATACTGTTACAGTATTTGTTTACCAAATGTTAGATTTAAGTGGCCTTTTCTGTGGATTGTGGTGAAAAGTGCAGCTCAGATTTTCTGATCTTAGAATAATAATTTAAATGGAAGTGGTGTAAAAAATATGAGATCCATTGTTTGCTGCTGAATTTTGTCTGGAAACTATAGAAGAATTGTATAAATGATTATAAATTCATTTTCCAGCCTAGGAGAATAAAAAACAGTTTAGGTGCATTTTCCCTCCTTTGTTTTTCAGTTTCCTAACCCTGGTTAGGATTTTTAAAGACACCAGGCTGAGATTGTTTGAAGTTGCCTCCATGGAAAAGGCATAGATGCCTTGCTGCAAGAGTTACACTTAGTAATTAGTACTTCAGTTGGTCAAGCACTTCCTCTCCTTGAAATTCAGAGGCAGGAGAGAGCACCTCTACCTGCCTTAGACCATCAGAGAGCCCCAGTCAATGGCTGTGAGACTCCGGCACGTCTGCCTGCCCTGCATCTGCACTGCAACATCTGGTTTCTTGTAGTGCTTAAGATCTTGAAATTACACTTTTGGAAAGAGGTCCACTGAGGGCACATTTATATTTAACTAAGAAAAAAAAAAAAAAAAGGCAACAAAGAAGCATTTATATGACTTTTCATTATCATACTCAAAGCAGACCAGAGCATATTATTTAACAGAGGACTTAGAGAGTTCTCTAAAGGCAAATGTTGCATCTGGGACTTAAAGCCAAGCTCATATTTTGCACCAAGAGTTGTGGATGATTAACATTGTTCTGTGGATGCAGCTTTTGCAAAGTAGAGAGCAAATGAGATGCTAAACAGCGTAAGTGCTAGTAGGAAACAGAAGTGTATGTGTGAACCATACAGCTATCTAATTTTACTTGCTTTCAGGAGGGTCTTTCTTTGGAAAGAAAGAAAGTCAGTGGGATTCCAAGCCAAGTGTGCCTACCGATGAGCTGTTACTGTCTCAACTTGGCTGTTAGAGAAAATTTTTTTTCCAGAAATCTCCCCTGTAGCTGGTATTTGAGAGTCCTAAAGTTATGGATCTGAGGACCTTTTGCCAGATCAAGGCACCACTGAGCATTCTGGAAGTGCCCTGTCCCAGCAGAGTGCAAGGCTAGCTTGCCTCATCTCAGAAGTCTGGCTAGCAGACCCTGTAGTGTCCTTTCCTTGAGCCCAGCAGACACAGCTGCTTCCACGTGTGCTACCCTGGATTTTTTTCTGTCTCTTCTGTGACTGCTTTGACTTTGAGACTCGTGATCCACCACTGGTCCATGAGACAGCAGAAGGCAGTCCAAAGATACATCAGTTCCATGCATCTTCTGTCTGAGTGCTCACACATTTTCTCCCTTGAAGTCAAGGGAGACCAAGGCAAATGGAGGAGACCAAAAGGCAGATGGAGGAGAGCAAAAGGAATGAGTCAACATTAAAAGTTTGGAGTAATTTTCATGTAGTTAGGCAAGAGAACTCTTATAGCAACACTGTGCAGAATGATCCCGATGTCGCTGTCGAGGCAGGACGGGAATGAGAAGACTCACTCAGAAGGCTTTTGAGAGTAAAACTCTGATTTATTCAAAATACACTGCTCTTTTATATAGAGCTTTGCAAAGGTTAAATCTATTGGTTCTAAAGTGAAATCAACTTACAACATTGCTTTAGAGTGCTTGATGCACAGTGATAGAACTTAACTATAAACAATGTGAGAACAAGAGAGATAAAGAATTATTTACATTCTTTCCCAGCTCTTTCCCAGGCTTTTGCCTGGCTAGAAAATTTCAATTTCTTTATTTGACTGAATCTGAGACCCACATCCCTAGGATAAGAAACAGTGATAAAGCCATGAATTAATAGAAGGTTGAGGGAACATCTCTAGAGTTTAATCACAGGTAAACCCTTTGTCTTCTCAAATGCCCCAGATGGACCAAGGACCCCACTCTAAGGGATTTGCTTACTTCACTAGTTAACAATTATATATGAATTGTGAATTTAGAACTGGCCAGAGGCAGGCTCTGACCCTTCTTGGGCATCTCCTGAACATGGTCCATGCCATCCTTCAACATGAGGTGCCAGTTTAATCAGTGTCCATTTCAGCTCTCACAGCCCTGATGAGCAAGAGGGGCAGTACCAAGAGGGGCAGAAGGAATTTTCAGATGATAATGGCCCTTGCCTCATATTGTCACAGTGAACCTGGCTGAGGCATTAAAGGGGGCAAGAGAAAAGCTCTGATGTTCTAGAAGGATGACCAAAACTGCACTAACTCTGTGATGGCCTAATTTTTCAGCCTTTTCATATAAACTACAGGTCTTCAAAAGTCTGCGTTTAGCTATTCCACTACCTCACTATTTCTCATTTTCTACATATTTCTCAAGTAGTTACATCTGCATAAAGGTAGCGGACAATCTCTCCTAAAATTTTCATTTTCTTAAGCCTGTCAGAACCCTAAATTGTACACTTCATGTGCTGAGATCAAGACTCCTAAATGAACAAGCAGATTTGAAAAATGCCATTGTCCGTCTTTTGCTCAGAATTTTAAAAAAGAGGTTTTCACTATAAACTGCTCAGTTAATTTTCACTAAGTGCTAAAATTGTTATGATAGGATAGTTCAATTATGAAAGGGCATGCTCCTGAGATTTGAACCAATTGGCACTTTTACAGGAGCCATGAGACCTTCACACATCAAGTTCAAAACCAATTTTGCAACCTGAGCACTATTGAAATGAACCAGATTTTGGATCCAAAGTGGAATCTAAAAGTCACAAAGAGACTGTATCCCAGTCCCTCAAACAGAAATGGCTGACATACAGGGGGCCTGCTCTGTGATAGTTCAGGAGATTTAAGTTTGTTTTTAATTGAAATTGCATCAAGAAGAATTGATAATTTTTTTAGCATTTTTCATTACCCACAGAAAGAAACATGACACCTTGGTGCTTCAGAGTTGAAATCGGTCTTCCTGGACCTCTCTGCTGTTTCAGATGATCCAGCTGGGTCAATTTATTGCCAGGTGCAAGTTCTCTACAAAAACCTGAGGCAGTGCTCACCCCTGGCTGGGCAGCACCATGTCTCCAGGCTACCCACCCACCTGAATCCTTCCAGAGCCACCCCAAAGTCCTCAGTGCCCAGCAGCTGTGGCACACCACTCAGAAACCCAGCATGCAGCTCTGGAGGATTCTGTTCTGCATTTCCCAGCACCACCCTCTTGTTCTGTACAGGCTACAATATATCCAACAAGTTGTAGTTTTAAATAATTTTGGTGGCAAAAAAAAATTGCTTCCTAAGCATTTTTTCCCCACAAGACTGTCATGTCCCCCCAGTCGTGACCAGAATGAAAACTGAGTTGTTGAAAATAATTAATTGTATTTATTCTTAGAGCACGTAGAGACAAATACTCAATAGAAGCCACACTGTATGTAAAAAGTGTGCAAAAATATCAGGCTAAGTACTAAATTACCAAAAATAATCACCTATTTATAAAATGAGAAGTGTTGGGATGTTCTGCTTATCAGATTTAGGGAATATAACTGGGAATACCGTAGATAAGTCTGAGCTACATAACACCTAGGTTTGAATAAGCAATGCATGTTTCTTCAGCATGTTTTCTTGTTAGGCCTTCCAGACAGAATATATTCCGATTTTAAATACCAACTTCCTATTGAATTACATGAAATAGAAACTGCATGATATGAATGACTTCCCTAAAATTAAATTACCCTCAAACTAGGTGTCTTACCTATAAGCAAGCATAATTACAGCAATATATGTGCATGGGCATGTCATTCATTTTACTGAAGGTTTAATTAAGCTTTATATGCAACTAATCTATATTATTAGCAGAGGTCAGGTAGGCATGTGATACTGGCTCTTTAGGAAGAGACCTGGATGGATTTCAGCTTACTTAACCCTTAAAATGGTACTGATTGGCAACAAAGAATTGACATTCCCCATGTGTGCAAACTACATTAAAAAAATCCATTTGCTGTGAAAATTACCATTGGATATAAACTTCACAGCACACAAAAAGGAAAAAAGTCAAGAGCTACCATGGCTATGGTGTTGGCCCCATGGGAAGGGTCTCCTAGGGTACCTGCTGGGGGTAAACCTGTGTTCATCTTGACCCACAGGTGCTGGGGTCTGGGAGTGCTGATGTAGGCATGTGATTTGTGTAAAGGGATCAGGCCCTGCACCCCAGGGTCCATCCACCTGGTCAACAAGAAGGTAGCACAGTCCAAAGACAGGGAAAAGGGGTTGGCTCCTCATTTTCCAGAAGATGGAGGCCTGCTGTGGGAAATTTGCAAAGCAGAGGACTCCCACTACTGAGCAGTCAGTGCCAGCCACCTCCAGGTCACAGCCCTCAAGAGCAAGGGTGCACATTCCTGGGACAGAAGCAGGGTCAGAAGGGAGAGCAATGCACACCCACTTAGAGAGGTATGCTGCCTTTGGTAGAGCTTCCCTTCGCTGTCATGTTCCCGTGTGAGAACAGTCAGCCATTGTACATGGCATCCTCAGGCCGCAGCCCTGTTCATCTCAGTAAGACCTTTAAGGGTTAATGGTTCCTGTTAGATGCTCCATGTATACATATTTTTGTGTATAAGCCTTGCAGAAGGTCTGGTCACATAGCTAAGAAAGGTGCACTTGAGCACTGCCCAGATAATCATGTGCCCTTTGTCCTGTTTCATGTGCAGACACAGAATAGCTGTAATTCTCATATGTAATTTATTTTTAAGTACAGTGTATTGCTCTTTTCTGAAACTTTTTCCTTTTTCTTTCTTTTTTTGACAACTTTCTGCATTGGCAGAGCATCTTGGGATTGAATTTATGGGTATGGACCAATCATTCCTTTTAGCCTGCAGATTCTAGACCCTGAGAGATAAACCCCTTTTTATTTTTTTTTCCACTTCCCCTTTTCAATTCCTAACCAATTTCTTTATGCTTTAAAAGGGATCATACAGCTATAACAACAACCCTTGTCAAAGTGTTAGTGGAGATCAGTTCACTAAAATGGTCATCAAAATATCGATAGGATATTCAGACTTAAGGATTTCTAGGAATTACTCGAGTGATCATAACATACTGCACATTCCTTTTTCTGCTGTATAGTTTTGACTAGTTTTGACATCTGCTTTTGGCGAGTTTTTCTCGGGTTGCTAGGTTTTGGAAACACTGTAAGTGTTAAGCAAAATGTCTAACTAGTATATTAAAAGGGAGGAACTGTTATGGCCACTTAAAAGTATGCAAATTGGCAGTGTTCAGCTCTGATTTTCAAGTAAAATTTTATGTCTAAACCCACATCTTGGTGGTTACACATCATGTGTAAATCAGTTGCCTGTACATATCTGTAAATATATGCATATATGCATATATATATGTTCCTTTCCAGGTCTGCAAATTCAAAGTGGACTGAAAGTTATTTAGGAATTTAAGTAGAAGTTTACAGCTAGACTCCAGATCCTCAATTCAGCAAATATATTCAATATTTCTAAAACTTAACGCAACAAGAACATTGTCAGTGGGTACTGTATTCACACTTCAGCTTTAGATATAATAGAAATAGATCTTTTAAGTGTTATTCCTGAATAGACTGTACTTATCTGAATAGCTGTTTTTATTCAGAGGTAAAAATAATGCATTTCTTGAATAGGCTTACTTGAAATCCAGGTCAGTTTTAGATTGGACTCTCCTATAATTATTGGTAAATTAAAAGGGAAAAAAAAAAAGAAGAAAGAAAAAAAAAACAGATGGTGAGGCAGTTTTTGTTCATGTTCTTATTAAAAATGCCCCCACAAAATGTCATTAGCTTAAGCTGTGAACTGTGGAAAACCCACTACAAGCTCAAATTTAAAAAATTACTCAAAACCCAGCTTATTTTTGTTTTTATTATCACCCTAAGTTAGCATTAATTCCCACTCATACATATTAGATTGTAGTGGAAGATGTATGGCTACATTAACATATGAGGAGTTAAATTAAAATAATTTTAAAAACTGACATTCAAATGTTGCTTTATATATGAAATTACTTTAGCAGAACAAGTTTTGGAATTAAATTCTTTTAAAAATCCCCAGAGATATGCAAGAAGAAAAACTTTAAAACAGAGCAAATTCAGGACTTCATGTATAATCAGTTACATGTAAATTAGAGAGATGTGAAATTAATTGCATAATATGCATATTTGAGCAGCTGCTTATGTAATACCTTGACTTAAGTCTTACATTGATTTTATTTTCCTAGCATTCTGTAGGGTTAAAAAAATTATTGCAATTATTTTTAATACTTAACAGGCTAAAATCTTTCCTAAATTATCACTGCATATGAAATTCTTTACAGATTTTCCTGCAAGGCTGCTATAATTTTTTTTTTTTAAGATAGTTTAGTCATCATATGTTATTTAGCTGGGAGTCATTAACTTGACTCCATAAACTGGTCAGAGACAGAAGGCAGTTTTGGGGCAAGGTGTAGTATAACTGCAAGTGCTCCACACGAGTTCTTCACAAAACTCTTCTTGGCCTTAAACAGGGTCCAAGGCTTGTCTTTGAGGTACCATGCCACCTGCAAAGTCTTAACCAGGATCCCAGTCCTGTCCCGGCTGCCAGCATCCCCTGTCACCCACACTGCAGAACACCTGGGCGTCCCCATTTGGCCCTGGCTGTCCCCTGTGGGCCAGGAGCACGGCCAGATTTATGTGAGAGCTTGCTGGTTTTCTGGGCATGACATGCCCAAGTTCTGCCTGTGCTTTGCCAGGCAGAACTTGCCCCCAGAGTTAGAGGGAGGGCACGGCAGCACCACCATTCACGCACACTACGTCAAGCTGCATCGTCCTTAGGGCCTTGTTCCAAAGGGCACAGGAGGGAACTGAGGTTGTGAAAGCAGATCCAGGGATTTAATTTCCCATGCCTGTCAAGACCTGTAGTCCCAGCAGACTTGCTGGTGCTAGGAGCATTCCTCAGGGCTGCACCCACAGCCCTGCTCCCTCTCTGCATCTCCCCTCCCCTGCAGTGAGTGAGCACCCAGGAAGTCCCACACATAAGCAATGAGCCCCAGCCCACTGGCAAACTCAGGCCATCTCCAGCCAGCTGCCCAGCTCATTTGCAACAGCCTCAGTCAGTGCAATGTTTCCTTCAGTGCAAAAACTGAGCAGAGTGTCCACCGTCAATCTTATACTTCCTCTCCCTTATGCTCCAAAAAAATAAACCCAGGTTGATATGTCATTATTCATTTTGCTTTCATAAGCTAACAGCTGACAGCATGACAATAAAAAAAAAAATAATAATTCAAAGCATTTCAAATTAGCCCCTAAATTGCTTAGCACAATTCTCCTGTTTCCTGTGACATCCTCGTAATACACCATTTCCATGGCTAACTAATAAGCGCTTTCAGAAGGGCAAGGGGAAGGGGATCCAGTGCCACTAACTAGCCTAGGTGAGGAGTTATGCTGTATGAGAAATCCCTTCACACTCTGCTTCAACCTTTTTTTTTGTCCTCAAGCATTTCTTCTCTCTGTTTTTTTCCAGTTCCAAGCATGCTATGCCAGGCCTGTAGTTGAATTCTCTACCCTTTTTTCCTGTCTTTCCTTATATTTCACCTTCCTCTTTTCCTTTGTCATATTTGAATTGGTTGGAGTTTCAGCCACTTCTTCCTTCCCTTTTTTGACCTTCTGTTCTTGGAGTTTTATTTATTTTTCTTTAATACGTTTTTGCAGTATCCTAGTTTTACCACACTCATTTCTTCTCTCCTCTTCCCCCATCTTTGTTAATAATTAGTGCTATTAATTTTGTCTGACAGTGCTCATGACCTGTTTGCTGGTGTTTGATTTACAGTGGGTTTGGCTTGTAAGACAAACTTGTTCCATGGTGTGGTGCATTGTATCAGAGAAATAAGGATTTATTTTTGCTTTTTGGTTTGTTGCATGGAGTATTTGCCACTTGCCCACAGCAACTTTAAAACAAAACTAGACAAGCTCAGGAAACACAATGGAGGGAAGTCTGCTCCCTGTTCAGTAAGGACACAGCCTGAATTGGTGTGTCATTTTTGATAGCACATGATTTGGACAGTGATACATGGCATACATGAGAGACCATTGTGCATCTCTGTACCAGCCAGATGTAAGTCCTTTCCAGAAGGAATAATGCTGACATTTATCCCAAAGGTAGTGCAAAGCTGCGCATCTCTAATTCATTAATTTATTTTTAATCACCTGCTGGTATTCTGACCATGGTCAATAGTGCAGATCACTGTTGGTCTGTCTGCTTAATCAAAAATAAGACTTGAGTAAAGCTAGACATCCATTTTTGTCCTAACAGTGGGAACACAAATCCACATCTGTAAAGCGGCCTCTGTTTCAGAGCTCCTTACATAACATTTCCCCAGCAGAGCACTCAGCAGTGCTCTCTGCCAAGCATGAGCGAGGCTGGAAAGCATCAGTAGCTCCAGCCCAACATTAGCAGTGCTACTAACACCTTTATAAAAGTGAAATATGAATGAGATTGGTAACCAGTTGTCATCACTGAGCAAGCTGCCACTCTTCACAGAGGATTCCTTTGTTGGTCACAAAGGGATACGAGTTGAAACTCTGCATTTCTCTCACACAAGGCACTGCTGGTTATTGATATTGCTCTGTTTTAGGAGGAGCACTGGAGAAAGAGTCTGAATTTCACAACCAGAGCTCAAAACATGTCTTCATTTCCATTGGTGATATAATTACAAGCCAAGCTCATGTCTCAAATGTACAAGAGTATTTTAAAATTTCTCCTGTAAAGACAGCTGAGATATAAATTGACATTGGACCAGAGGGATATTGGATGTGAAAACAATCCAAAAAGATAATAAGAAAATTAATTTCTCATAAGACCTTTAAAAATGGCTTTCATTCCAGCTGTCTTTGCAAAACTTCCAAAGCATTTGCAAATTCTTGTTATTACCTTACCACACTGCATTTTTATTTCCAGCAAATGCTGTTTTGTCAACTAAGAAGTTGTTTCTTAAATATTGTTCTTGTTGGCTTGAAAAAAAAAAAATTTACTTTTGACTGTAATTCTGTAATTGTTCTCATCCCCAGTATTGTGTTAATAGTTTGTGGTGTAGTCCCGTTCTCCTTGCAGTCAATAATGAGTCTGCCTGAAATGTGGTGGCTGTGTCTCGGTGTGGCTGTGTGACTCTGTGCCTTGGTTTGTAGCATGAGAGCTGTTGACTGTGTGCTCCTTGCCTAGCCATCCTCCATGTTGTGACTTTCTCTGTTTTTGTCCCTTTCTAGAAGCTGAGGAACTGTACCAGAAACGGGTGCTGACCATAACTGGCATTTGCATTGCTCTTCTAGTAGTTGGCATCATGTGTGTGGTGGCCTACTGCAAAACCAAGTAAACTTTTCTCTTCTATTTTGTATCAGTGTTGTTAGTCAGGGCCTTCCCAGTTGTCTGTAGCTTCTCTGGGCATAAGGTTGTATCTGGGCTTCCACAGAGGTGAGCTTAAGAGACAAACTTGTGACCACGGTACTCTGGTCCAAGCCAGAGGAATGTGAGTCTCCATGTCCATCAGCAGTGTAAAATTAAGAGAGGTATGTGTAAGATTTTCAGTCTTCAAATGTAACTCGCAATTTTTTGTCTTTTTTGTTTGTTTTCTTTTCTGTCACCCATTTCAGCTGGTTTCCCCAGTTGAAAAGGAACAAACTCCAACCCTGGAATCATGTTGCTTTTCAGAAGTGAATTTTATAAGCCTAATTTGTTTGTACTTAGGACACAATTAATGATGCTAAAAGTTACTATATACCAAAGGCCAAAAAATTGAACACAAAAGTGCTCTGAATGCAAAAGTTGGCATTTAAATGCGTCCTGTGAGTATCTAAATTACTGGGGGTGACTCTCAAACATGTATGAGGCACTCTGGACTATAAATTACACAGAAGATCAGCAGAATTTCTGCTGCCAAAACTTCTGGCTGCCCATATAAATCTCCCCACCAAAACACAGAAAGCCCTTACCATAAATATTCCACGTTTGTGTAAACCTGATTTACTGTTTCAAGGCCTGATTGGCAGTTGGTTTTTGTTGTAAGTCTCACCAATAATGGATGTGTTAAAAGTGGGGGAGGAAGGAGATCATTTATCCCTCTCAGTGAGAGTCCAGACACATACACACAACTGCTCCCACCCATAACCTTGTGCCAGTGGTCAGTGTGGAGCAGCGGAAACAGTAATAAAAAATCAGATCAATTACTGCTTTTAGAAATCACATCCCCCATGTATTTCAACAAACATTAGTATACTGAAGTATGATTTTCTGTATAAAGAGCGCACAGAATCCGTCAGGGGTCTGGATGCTTGTTTTGGCATCAGCAGCACTGTGAACCAAAAGTTAACTGTTTTCAGAAACAGTTGATGAGAGTGCCATGCCAGGACATGGCCTTCCAAATGCAGCAGTGATGCCAGACTGGTATCTGTGAGGTGATTTGCATGCGCTCTTTTCCATAAATAGGGGAAAACTCAGAAACCAGGAGAAATCCTGGAATGCTGTTAGGAGAACAACCAATGTAATAATCTAATAACTTAGATTTTGTTGGTCTCCTTGCAAAAAATACTGCTACTAAATTGTCAGGGCATTAGCTTCAGACACTGAGTTTTAATTCAGAGGTACTTTATTTGCAAATCATTTATATGAAGATAAAAGCTTCTTAAGTACACTAGCTTACCTGTTAATCTCATCTCAGTTTTGTAGAGTTGTTTCTTTTTTTAGTTAGTGTCCTTTTACTACAGGACAAACAGCACAGATGAAAGCATGCAAATTCAAATACACTGATCACTGAAGGTGGGAATAATGCACATTTCTAGGAACAGATTCCCAGGTTACATGTGCCAGGATTTCAGTCCTGTAGATGACAGACTTCTAGAACCCACTTTCTCTACCATGATAAAGAATTCAGATTGTTCTCATCTCACAAGGTCTCCAGAGTCTCATGAAAGGGAGCTGTGAAATCAAGTTAAAACCTTGTGCTGCTTCTCAGCTCAGCAGGTCTTTGGGTAGCTCAGATATCTCCTGGCACTGCGCTGTCTGTACACCTTACATGTCCTGAGATGATGCCTGGTTATCCTCAAAGCACAAACTCCACATGAACCACAGGGTGTATCCTTCTGAGACCAGGAGCATTTCCAAGACAGATGTATCTGCTTATGCCATTCATGTGATGTGGCATAAATTAAGCATTTTCCACTATCCAGACACATACACACAGAGAAAATATGTAAAATGCTGTATGTCAAATTATGTTTTCATTGTCTTTAGGCTTTCATGACTATCAAGCTTCAACGTATTTATTGCTCTCTCTCACTCCACCTTTTTTGTAAAACTTGGATAGTCCCCTTGAGTTCAAAACAAGATTGAAAGTAGTTCTCTCTTACACTGTTCTACCCTGCCATCATTATCTGCATTTCTGCATACAGCTCAGTATTTTAGCTTTTGCCAGAGCCAAAGTCATATGCCTTCCAGAGTGTGTTGAATCTTGCATCCTCCCTTCACTGCCCTGGATTCTGTGACAGTGTGGTGGAAGTTCTCCAGTGTAATGACAGAAAACTGGGTAATACTTATAAATTAAGTCTGAAATTGAATAGCCCTTTCTCTGGTTATTTATTTTGGTGTTTTAATTAGTGTGTTCTGCATAGCCAGGTTTTACTATGCCATAAGTTTTGCTGCTGACAGCTTGTACTGATCTTCTGAAAAGCTCTTCTGAGGAGAGCTGGAAGGATTACAGAATCACAGAATCATTTAGGTTGGAAAAAACCTGTGAGATTGTGTTCAACCTTTGAATGACCACCACCTTATCAGCTAGCCCATGGCACTAAGTGATGTGACCAGTCATTTCTGGAACACCCCCAGGGATGGTGACTCCACCACCCTCTGAGCAGTCTGTTCCAATGTTTAATAACCCTTTACATGAAGAAATTCCTCCTGATGTCCAACCCTCACTTGGCCATAGCCTCCTTTCAGGCAGTTGTAGAGAGTGATAGAGTAACCCTGAGCCTCCTTTTCTCCAGGGTGAACAACCCCAGCTCCCACAGCCTCTCCTCACAGGACTTACATGTTGTTAGCAAGTGGGGAAACCACAGCTAAGGACAGGAGACAGTAGAAGCATCAAAGTCAGTCAGAAGCCATGTCATTAGTACATGGATAGCTCTACTAAGTGCATTAGCACCCATGGCATCCACTTGGTTAATCATTAGGCTGCTAGGAAATCTGCAGGCCTATGCCATATACTCTCACTTTGGATTTCTAAGGCTTTATCTTGCACTCCTCTATAACACATTTATATAGCTGAGGTGCACTGTTGAGGTAGGGGATGAATCCCACCAAAAAATGTGTGACTGCCACATCACAAAGACCGTGTTCCAGTGTCTGCAAACAAGCCCTGAGGCACAGACACCTCAGCTCCCGGTGGTGAACGGAGAGGTGTAACCTGATGGGCTGTCAGAAGCTTCGCCTTGGCCCTGTGAGGGTGTCAAGGTGTCTGGATTAAAATCTCTTCCCACTGAGTGCAGAAATCCTCTCCCCTTCCGAGTGCAGAAAATTCTCCTCGTAAGACAGAGCACTGCTTAGAAATGGCTTCCCTTTTCCTCTCACTTATTCCTGTCCCAATTTGTCCTGCTGACTCCTGGAAGGGATCCCAAATATCCTTCCCCCTGTGCAGGTCCCCACAGTTCCAGCTGCAATTAGACCTGTGGTTTTCAGATTTGTTCTGAGCTCTAGCAGCAGTGGAGAAAATTCTGGCAAAAAAAAAAAAAAAGGTGATGTTACATTATTATCACCAACATCAATACGCTGAAAGGTGCAGCTGCTTTCCTTTTGTCTGTTAAAATTGTTTCTGTGTTTCACGCACAGGAAGCAGAGGAAGAAGTTGCACGACCGCCTTCGGCAGAGCCTGCGCTCGGAGAGGAACAACGTGATGAACATGGCCAACGGGCCGCACCACCCCAACCCGCCGCCAGATAATGTCCAGCTGGTCAACGTAGGTTTCCCTGTACATGTTTCAGCCTAGGCTGCCAGTGCCACAGGAAAGCTCACCCCACAGCTTTTAAACAGCTGCCTGCTGCAGGCTGGTGACTGATTTCTCTTGGCTTTCTCTGTCCTCGCAGAAAAAATTGCTATCACAATCTGCTGCCGCCTTTTCCATCAGAGAATAGTAGTATTTTTGGTGTGTGTGATGGTAATGGGAGGTTGCTTTTCCACATGTCTTTCTATTGGGACTTCTCGTTCCCTTGTTAGCTACATTTTTACAGCTTGATTGAGATGCAGACCTTTGCTACTTTCCTCATTTATCTGCTATTTTAAGTCTAGATGGGCTATGTACACAGAGGTGTACATGAACATGCTCAAGTGTGTCAGTATGGTTTGTGCATGTATTAAAGTGACAAAATTTGTGCTTTGGCACATGAAAAAGGCTGAAATCTGGGAAGGAGCAATTGGGAATTATGTCTACAAATGTGCTGTGAATTACAGTTTGTAAACCTGAGGTTTGTCTGGGCTTTTTCAGCAGTACGTTTCGAAAAATGTAATCTCCAGTGAGCATGTCATCGAGCGAGAAACAGAGACCTCGTTTTCTACAAGCCACTACACCTCAACAACACATCACTCCGTGACAGTCACCCAGACACCTAGCCACAGGTACTGGAGGGGGAAGGCAAATAACACCTGTAATACCTAATCTGTTGCTGCTGCAAAATCAAAGAGATGTAAAACAACAAACCAGGGGAGATGTGTAAACAACAAACCAAAAATATTTGCAAAACAACAAACCAGGGAAGATCTATGTTCCGTTCATAGTGTTTTCATTTCAAGACTAACAGTATTTGATGTTGTATCACCTAACTAATTATCTTCCCAGGAATTTATTATCTGACTGGCATTCCAGTACTGCCACACTGAAATTGCTAAATCGGTGACAGTTCTGATGCCTGGAAAGCCCTCCATCCCTCTCCTTTTATCTATACGTGCAAAATCACCTTGATGCCTGTGGATTCATACTGTTGGCTGAACTCTGCAGCTCCATTTTCCAACATGATGTTTGTGCTGCAGATCCTGTGTGGCAGCAGAGCCCCTCCTTTCCCTGGGTAACCTTCTGCTCATAGGGAGTTGCCGCCAAAGCCCACTCTCACATCCCCCCTTTCTCTTTTCCTGGTTGCTGCTCTCCAGCTGGAGTAATGGCCACACTGAAAGCATCCTCTCCGAAAGCCACTCGGTGCTCGTCAGCTCCTCCATGGAGAACAGCAGGCACGCCAGCCCAGCAGGGCCGCGGGGCCGTCTCAACGGCATCGGCGGCCCACGGGAAGGCAGCAGCTTCCTCCGGCACGCGAGGGAGACCCCGGACTCCTACCGAGACTCTCCTCACAGCGAAAGGTAGGACACACTGCCTCGTTGCTCTCAGCTGGTGTTTTCCCAGATGGTTTCAAAGCTTGGGAGAAAATGTGACAGCGCAGATGTTCTTGGAGGACATACAACTGCTTATTCATAAAGGTGGAGAGATGAGCGGTAGTTTAAAGCCCAACAAAAGCATTTCTTCCCTTCTTGCCTCTGCGGGGTTTAGTCCTATAAGCCAGCAGTTCACACTTGGAAAAGCTCAATTGGAGTAATTAGTCAGAAATTTCCATTGAAAACTATAAACAGAACTTTGCATAATTACCAGTTTTTTAGAAGGTGCAAATGAGAAGTCTGAGGGATTTTGCAGTGAGAAAGTAGTGTTTTGATCCACAGGAGGAGGGCACTAAGGACTCCTAAGCAGTATAGAAATTATGCCACCATAAAAATTAATCCACCACGTACTTTCTGGAGTGTTCCGGCTCCAAAACTCCCCTTAACCCTTTATTAAATAAAAGCAAGGAACACAAAGTGCAAGCCAGAAAGATTCAGGTCATTATTAAATCATACATAGTTATGAATAAACCTGGCCAAGAGTTTTCTAACCAGGTAATTTTTTTCTCTGAAAAGGTTGGTTCATCAGTTCCTAAGGTCTGCCTAGGAGTACATCAGTCACAAAAAAAACTTCAACTGAAAAAATCCTGCTCAGGTTTAGGCTAGCATTTTAGTTTCAAGATGGCCCCAGAATAGCAATAGAAAGACTGAGAAGAAACAAGACATTTAAAAAGAGCTTTTCTCCCTGGAATCATAGGCAGAAGAAAAAGAAAACAAAAGGTTATGGACCAGTTCTCTGAGGACTTTGAAATCACAAGGGATTTGGCCTTGTGGAGTGTCCATGATGCCAGAAATGCAGCCAGCAATCCCCAAGGAGACTGAGTTGTGTAGGAGACAAATTGTGGTTTTCAGAAAATGAATGCGCAAGTACAGCAAACGCCATTTCTGTGGTACTCCCTCTGCCACACAAACAACTGCTAAGCAGCAGGAAGAGGGCTCACTGAGGAAAGACCCCGAGTGTAGTACCACCAAGCATAATAAACTACCCATCTCATTAAAAATTATGTGTTATTTACCATGGAATTTAATTTGAACATACGTGGCTCACATGACATAAACAGCCATGGCTCCAATCCAGCAGAGCACTTTGACAAGATTATCTTTTAATTGTACAAGTAGGCCCACTGAAATCAGCAAGATTACTCACATGGGTAGAGCTCAGCATGTGCTTAAGTGCTTTGCTGGATCAGGACCTGTAACAGTAAATACCATGTTGTCTCCTGCCTGGGAACCGAGCAGGATGCACGGCCACACGCCTGACAATGGTGAGTAGTACAGCTTAGTGTATTTGGGCATCTGCATGTGAGAAGTGAAGACCATACTTGCTATCTGCCTGCATTGCATGGGACACCCAAAGCATCATTCTAATACAAACTCTTTAGATTTACGTGGAGGGAGGGGGCCAGTGTTGGGGGAGAGGGGAGACCATATTCCTTTTTTTTTTTCTCTGAGAAGAAAGAAGGCATTTCATCAATTATTTTGTCTCTTGAAGGTTGTACTATAGGTCAATAGCAGCAACATTTCTGTGATAATTCATCAGGCATTGACTGCCTAGCCTGTGCCTGAAGCAATCACAAATTTGCTTCATGGGAAATGATAGTTCCCTGGGCATTAATTTTAGGCCTCATCTTTTTTTAGCAAGCAGGAAATACATTGCCAATTGTTCCTGAGATGGCTTGTGTATATAAGGGAGAAAGTGAGAGTTATTTGGAACTAAAAATTACTCAGAAACATAAAGGAATGTAGGAGCTGACAAATTACTTCCTGAAGCCATCAAATGTTGCTGTACTGTGAACTGGTAAACCAAGGCTGTATTCCCTTAGTTTTCAAATTAAATTGAACGGATATTACAAGAGGTTGTTTTGCCTTACCCCATACATTTCCTGGATCCCATGTCCTGCCACCTGTGTACACAAGCAGAGGGCACAACCAGTTTTATCTTGGATGTCCTTAGCTGTCTTACTGGAGAGAAGATCAAAAAACACTGTCTCTGCACAAAAGGCTGGACTGTATGATGGAGCTGGCAGCATATAACAAGTTAATGTGTGCTGGATGGCCACGGGTATGCTCTGATCCCCTTTCACTGAGCCAGCATAGTTGGCCATGAAGCTGGATAAATCAATCACCTTTTAACCTTCCTTTCAGGATGGGCTGGAGCTGCACGAGTTCAGCTCCTGAGCCACAGACTGCAGACAGCAGCTAGTTAGCACTGCCCTGTTAGGGTGTGGGGGAATAGACCAGAAATGTGTGAATGCACAACACTCCAGTATGAGTAACTTGACCCTGTTGGAAGCCTGCACAGTACATTGAACACATTTAGCCAACTCAACAGGTTAACAGAATCAGTGTAGCTAAAATCCAGCATGTCATGAAGACATATATCTAACAGTGTACCAACTGGGAAAGTAGAAAGGCTTCCATTTTTCAGAAAATGCCTATTGAAAATGTGAAAGGGATGAAAAGCTCACTCGTGGAAGCAGAAAGAATTACTTAACTCATCCAGTGCACAGACCTATTCATTGCCCTTTGCTTAACCAACTTGATTAATTCCCATGCATAAATCCAGATTTGTTTTTTTCCTTTCTCTGGCTCCTCAGTTCATGTAAATGAATGTGCAATCAATGTGCAATCAATGTGCCTCTAGTGAAATCAATTTATGCTACTGCACATCTGTCCAGAATCTGTCCCATTTTCTCCTTTTTCCTGTATCTCCATTTTTATCAAGTGTAATATGTGCAAGTGAGTCATGGATTGGATAAGAAAGATGGATTCAGGTTTATTTTGGTAATTTCGGGCTCAGATAAATAAACCACTAATGGACAACTAAATAACTACATCAATCATAGACATAGAGCTTTTCTCAATAGGCCTGTGATGGAGCTTAGAACAATTTTAACTTTAGACACAAATGAAATGCGGGCAGGTGAATTTAGGATAAGGATAAAAGCAAAGCCAGACCATGCAAAGTGTCATGCTGGGCACTGTGCTTTTGATCAAGTGGTTTTAGGCAGATCCTCACCTGGCATGAATCCACATGACCTCATAGCATGTCTGTTGATTAAAACTAGTTGAGAGCTCCACATTTTCTGTTCTGTTTCTTTGGGACAAACCCTGTAATGGCACCTGAGCTTCATTTTCAGAAATAACTTCTGACCACTACCCTTCCCACAGAAACAGGGACAAATTTTGCAGAGAAATCATGGGCACAAGGCCAGACAATCCTGTCTTTCAGCATTTGTTCCCATATGAGGACAAATGATACTCTGTGCTTCTTTGCAGATAGATCTACCAGCCAGGGTAACTAGCACCCAGGAGTGCAGCAGCACAGAGCTCCTGGGATGGTGCTACAAATGCTTCTCTGACTACCCTTGGTGATTAAAATTAGCAGAATCTGGCTCTATATTTTATCCAAACATTACTTTCCTCCCTAGCCTGAGACAGTTTGGTTGCCAGAAGAGGGTGAAGCCCCAAGAGGACTGTCCTTCAGTTCCCTTCCTTTCTTTCCCCCTGTCTGTTTGCATGTACCCCAGATTCTGGTCAAATCCTTCCAGAAGTGCAGCAGCTGTTTTCCTTTTGCAAATGCATTTCGTTTCTGGCAGCCTGTCTGTCTCTGAATCCCATTCCTGGATTCATTCCAGAAAGTTATTCTGGTAAAAAATTTACAACAACTCCATGGCTGGGATCTGGGAGTTTCGCTGTGCTCCTCCTGCTTTCTTATGTTTTTACCCAGAGTCCCAGAAGCCAGCAGTTTATAGGATTAATAGGAACAGGAAAGGTTCCTTAGTAGCCCTGTGTGAGGATGCTGGGGATCTTAAGGGAATCCCTGCCATTTCTCTCCCAGTCCACACGAGTTGCTGTGTGTACAGGTCGCCACTGCTCCTGTGCTTGCAACCTGTCCCCATCTCTTTTCTTCAGGTATGTCTCAGCTATGACCACACCAGCTCGCATGTCACCCGTCGATTTTCACACTCCAACTTCTCCCAAGTCCCGCCCCTCCACAATGTCACCACCGGCCTCCAGCTTGACCGTCTCCATCCCTTCAGTGGCGGTGAGCCCCTTCATAGAAGAGGAGCGACCGCTGCTCCTGGTGACTCCACTGCAGCTGCATGAGAAGTACGACCACCACCTTCAGCAGTTCAACTCCTTTCACCACAACGCCGCCCACGAGAGCAGCAGCCTGCCGCCGAGCCCTCTGCGCATCGTGGAGGACGAGGAGTACGAGACCACGCAGGAGTACGAACCAGCACAGGAGCCTCCAAAGAAACTCACCAACAGCCGGAGGGTCAAAAGAACAAAGCCCAACGGCCACATTTCCAGCAGGGTGGAGCTGGACTCTGACACAAGCTCTGAGAGCAGCAGCTCTGAGACCGAAACCGAAGATGAAAGAATAGGTGAGGATACACCATTCCTGAGCATACCGAACCCCGGGGCAGCCGGTCTGGAGCCAGCCAGCGCCTTCCGGCTGGCTGAAACCAGGACTAACCCGGCAAATCGCTTCTCCACACCAGAAGAGTTGCAAGCAAGGTTGTCCAGTGTGATAGCTAACCAAGACCCTATTGCTGTATAAAACATAAAACACATAGATTCACATGTAAAACTTTATTTTATATAATGAAGTATTCCACCTTTAAATTAAACGATTTATTTTATTTTAGCAATTCCGCTGATAGAAGACAGGAGGGGAAAAAAAAAACTTTTATAAATTAAATATACGTATGTACAAATGTGTTATGTGCCATATGTAGCAATTTTTTACAGTATTTCAAAAATGGGGAAAGATATCAATGGTGCCTTTATGTTATGTTAAGTTGAGAGCAAGTTTTGTACAGTTACAATGATGACTGTCCCATAGTATTTTGCAAAACCTTTTAGCCCTCAGTTGTCCTAGCTTTTTTGTGCACTGCATTATAATGACTGGATATATGATTTGCAAGAATTGCAGAAGTCCCTCTGGTCGCTTGCTGTAGAGTCTCCAAATCAGAAAGCCCTGTAATGGCACTCCCACCCTACTCCACCAGAAGAACACACACATACACACACACAGAGTCAGAAAGGGGAAAAAAAAAAAAAAAGATTAAAAAAAAAGATAAAAAAGTAAAAAAAAAAAAAAGTTTCTTATATGAGAACTTTTATTTGCTTTCCGTATATGAGATGAGTTTTGTCTGCTCTCTGCCAGCCAAAAGGTTTGCTTCTTTGAGCACTGGGATAATAGTAGATCAAACAGCATGCTACTATTAATTACAGCAGGATAACAAAAAACATACAAACAAAAAAAAAAGCCAACCTGCATTAAATAATGTTACTTATAGAAAGAAAGTAATACTGTGATTTTAAATCAAATATATTATTAATCAGAGGTCAGCTTGTAATCACTAGGAGCTGCCATTTCATTATTTTCCAGATACTAATTGTTCTAGTTATCCCTTAGGAAATGGGTTTAAGTTAGCTGAGGCTTTGAACCCAATATTCTATTTAAATAAAAAAAAAAGAAAAAAAAAAGAAGAAAACAAAAAAAATTTAAAAAAAGAAAACATTTATATTAGTTTATGTTAATGGGGCAAATATAATAGATATCTGTAATCAAACAAGGAAGAGATCTAGCTGGAAAACAAATGCCACTAATAAAAGTGCAATCAGTTTTCACCTCTATTTCTTAATGTTGATTTCTAATACATTATTTGTTCTTTTGTTTCCCATCAATTTTCTGCCCCTTTTTCCTTTCCTCAGAAAGAACCCTGACAAGCTTCTAGCAATACCTTGTTAGAGTTGCTGTTGGAGTAAGGCTTACTCTTGGACATAAAAAGGCCTTTCAGGGAAGAAGAACGTGATTGTCTGAATGGTTAAAAAGTATAGGCATGTAGGAGGGCAGATGTATGGAGGACAAAGCAGATGTATGGAGTTTATTTCCACTCACCTTTACTGACTCCATTACCAGGGTTTCGAGAGGCAGGGCTGATGCAGAGCCCATTTATGAAGGCAGGCACACCATGTGAGTTACAGCCCTAGTAACCCATGTGTGACTATTTAATATCAGTGTTTATATAACCAGTGACAGTTAGAAGTCATTGCCTAGTAATGAGCAAGGATGCTGTCAGTGTGGAGCAAATGCATCCATCCAGACAGAAGCAAATGGTCTCTTTTGCACTGAATTCCTATCAGTTTAGTCAGGGTCACTCTGCCTCTTCTATTATTTTGACTTTTTTGTTATGTGTTCAGCTGGCACAGCATTGACTCAGGATTGATGTGGAAAACAAATGTTTTTCCTGGACTCTGGGGATTCTGAAAATGAGAACATATGTTTTACAGGTATTACTGAGCTCTAAATAAGAGCCCTGTCAAGACAAAAATATTTTCAGCCAAACTACACTCATCCTTTGGGCCACATTCTGGTCCTAGTTAAATGAAGAGAAATACATCAAGGAAAATTTGTGAGATGCAAACCTGAGAAACAAAAAGTCCCAGATCAGTAAATTGTTCAAGCATATGCTTATGCTAATCCCAGCAAAAGTTACCTTCAGCATGTGCTAGACTGTCATTGACACATCCAGCACATGCAAAAAGTTAAGCATGTGCCTAAGAGTTTTGCTGAACAAGGTGTCCTATTGATTTAAGACTGAAAGAAAAGTATAGCAAAAGAAGACTTTGCCAGTATGACAAAAATCAGTGAGTTCCTCAAGGTATAAAGAACCACATCACATTAGTAAGAACACAGGTTAGTCTACCTGAACACCAGATTCAGCAGGGGAAAAAAAAAAAAAAAACAAAAAAACAAACAAAAAAAAAAAAACCCACACCTTAGTACAGGAAACTAGAATGTTAGTGATAGAACCAAAAGGCTAGGAAACTAGCACATCTTTGGGCCATGAAGTGGCTGAAATGGCACTGCTTATTTGAGAAATCTATGGGAGATGACAAGTACATACTGTCTGGACTTAAGTCCCCTTTGCAATTTTTCCCTAGCTGGCATGTACTTGAACACACTTTGCCTTTGCAGACTGAAACAAAAGCTCTCTACAAATTCTATACACCATATTCTCATTTTCATCCCTTTAGTCATACGTGTTTATCTGCAATCTCATGCAGCAGAATATCCACCTCTCCAGTAACTCTGCAACTCAGTAATACGGAGGGCCAGGTGGGCTTTCCTAATGAAGGCCACAAGTTTCCAAAAGATTTGCACTGTTGAGTTTCCTTGGGCACTTGAATATCTGTCCCTTCAGGAAGGCCTCTGACACTGCAAAGACCTTGCAGGACAGATGAGACAGAAAAAGGATGGCAGAGAAAATGAGATTTGCCCCAAAATCACCCATCTTAGTGGCAGAATAGAGATTATAACACAGGTAATTTGTACACTCTTCAGTATATATCAACCACAAGGCCAGCTCTCATTGGAGTATCTATAATAGCCCAGACAGATTAATGAGGATGGAAAGGGAACATGCCTTGACATTGAGTAGATTATTTGACTACTAACACGGTTATTTTGGAGGGACAGTACAAAATGAAGGAGCAATTCCATTTTTGGGAGCTGTACATGTGAGATTTATTGGGTATAGGTCTAGGGAAAAATGTCACACCTCTTCTGTTGTAGTGCCTCAAAGTCAAATTGCTGTGCAGTTCCTGTTATTCCTTCCCCTCGGAACATACACAGTGTGTTATAGGGCAAGCATGAAATTAGGCTGGAGACTTCACATGGACCTAAGAACAAGAAAATACAATTGGGGATATGGCTGCCTAAGCCCTTAGATCTTTGTGAAGAACCCAGCCTTACAGCACAATTCATGCAGCAGCGAATTCAGGAATTGCCCTGGCTTGGCGCGCACAGAAGCGGTAGGAGGACACAGACCCTCACCTCTAAACTTGTGTTTATCGCTCTGTGAGGGTGTTTCACATCAGTCAGGTCCACACCCAGAAGTTAGTGAGTCTACCTGGCCACAGGTGCTGCTGGCGGGCTGCAGCCAGTTCCTGCTGGCCAAGAGGCTGCAGCAGCACAGAGCAGAGCCAGCAAGTGCCTATGGAAAAGGCCAGCTTCCCTGTTGGGGATACTTGCTTCATTTCCCAGACCTTTGAGCTAGGCAGTCCCAACACCCTTGAGCCATCACTGTGTGATGCTTGCCTGTTCTTTGGCTGAAAGTCGTGGCAAGAATAACCATACTTTGAAGAGAGGGGAAAATATTCCAGTGGTGGCAGAGTTATTAAGATTGTCCTGGTTTGTTTCCATGCCATTTAGTTTGAGACATGAGTTTTTCCTGTGTTTATATGCAGGAATTGTTCCAAGTTGAAAGGCTTCTTTCAAGAGTGTATAGCTGGATTATGTTGTGCACAACCTGGTACAGCCTGCCTGTTGAAGGGGTGTAAATCATTACAGCTCCATACAGATTCTCATGCAACAGAGAAAAGCCTACTCCCTCCTTTTGGCCCAGTTATTCCCTTCCTCACTTGAGCCACCCCGACACACCCAGGTTTAAGAGATCAATCACTGCCTTTATCAGGGAAACAGGAAAGCTCCTTCTTTCCAGTACTTCAAAACAACAATGCTGCATCTTCCTGCTTCTCTCACACACATTGCAAGCAGTTTCCTGAGCATCCAGGATAGCAAACTGGTGTCTCCCCAAAGGACACACCTCTCAACCTGTTGAGCACTTCTTGGCTCTGCAGTATGGCTACTTACCATTACCTGGGTCTTACTTCTCTAGTGAGAAACAAAAAAGCACCTATGAAATGCTGCAGAGAAGGGCAGACAAAGAACATGGCCAATTATCATCATTTGTAATTCTCTATTCTATTGTAAATATGTCGTGTACATATGTGGATGTTTTTTCATTATTTACTGTCTTTATGGATATTGTGTTAAATGAGACGCTCTTAGTTTTATTGTGTAACACTGTAAATAACATAACATCCTTTATTATTTATGCATAGGCATCTAACACTCAGAGAAAGTTATCCTCATATTATTTTAAGATATATGTCACAAAGATGTTGCATTTTTCCTTTTACTTTGAAGAAATTGTAATATATCCTCTTTTTCCCCTCTTTTCCTTTAAAAAAAAGACAAATGCTAATTTATTGTTCAGGAGAGAAAGGGGATGTAACTGAAAGGCAAACTGTTCAAAGAATATGCTGTGGAAGCCACAAGCTACTGATAAACTAAAGAATTTATTACCCCAAATACAGCAATAAGTAATTGTTGATTTATTAAGGTTTTGTTATTCATTTTCAGTAAAAGAGGTGCTGGATTAAATTGTTTATGTGTGGTCCTGGCCCATCTGCTCAGCAGACTGTGCCAGGTCAGTAGCTACCATCTTTCTGTATCCAAACATTGTTGTAAAGGTCTTGTTCTATTGTTGTGGATCACTGTTCCTTGAGATTTCTGACTCATCCCTGTGGGGGGGTCTCTGGCAGACACTCTTGCTCCTACAATCATTTTTAGTTTCTTAAGTTAGAATTATTAGCTCTACCCTGACCATTACTGCTTAAGATGGATGGGGTTTGGGGAGAGGGAGGAGTTGGGGGGCGGAAATTACACAGTCTTGGGACTGTGGGAGGCTGCTCTACAAAAATGTCACCTCACTGTTCAGCAACAGTCAATAAAGCAAAGCAGATACCAGGAACTCTTAGATGGCACCACCATGCCTCGATATAAATTCATTATTTGTGCCAGTTGTAAATACAATCAGTGGTCCTGGTCTTCTTGTCTCAGGACAGAAATAGTATAACAGGGAAGGGTTTGAAGAGCAGCCCAGATGAATAAATACCTGGAACTGGTGAGGTCTGGGGAGCACTGGGTAGGCTGAATATCATTATTCAGAAAGAAAGGACAGCAGAGAGATTTTAAAGGTTTGTTGAAACATACTTATCTTGTAGAAGGTAAGAAAGGACTGGATGTTTAATACCTCTTCCAATAAAAGAAACGGAGTTATCAATCAAAACTACTGGGCACCATATTCCCAGAAAGATGTAGGTCTTCGTGTAAGAGGTAGGGAACTTGGGAGAATTACTTGCTGGAAGGGATTGTGGATTGTAAAAGTTTCCATGGGTTCATGGTGGGGGCCCGATTTTAGGCATTAATCCAACAAGGATTACTAAATCCATGAAAAACACATCAGATGCGGGAAATAACTGAACTGAAAACGTGGAGATTGTATAAACTGGGAATACTGTGTATTCTGCTGCTTTTCCCCTTCTCCAGCTCTCTGCCACACTTGGAGAGAAGGAGGGCAAATACCCGATCTAGCTGTGCTTACATAATATAAGTATGTAAAGCCATTTGCTGTTAACGAGCATTAAACAAGAGAAGAAAATCCAGGCATGAGCAGAGGAGAGAGGAATGCAGTAAAAACAACTTGGATGTGTTTCACATCCATTTGTTCCCAGGGCTAGTGCTCCCTGGCCTACCTGTGAGCGCAGAATGAGATGCCAAACTGAGAATGGGTGGAAGAATGGGAGGATGGAGGTACGGAGGGATGAAGGAATGGAGGGACGGAGGGAGGGAGGAACAGAGACAGGGAGGGCAGGAGGGAGGGAGGAATGGAGGGAGGGACAGAGGGGGACAAAGGGAGGAAATTACTGGCAAGGGTTTTCTGTCACTCTCCCCCTTCCCTTGTTCTCAACGCAGAGACTAAAGACCTGGTGGCCCAGTCTGATCTCAGTTTCCCTCGGACAGCTTCCCTGTCTGTTTCATGTGGAGGGATCCTGTGGCTGTGAGGCTGGATGCTTAGGCTGTTTGCCTCACCTGAATGTCTTAGCTGTATAGGGCTTTGTCACCTCACAGCCAGCCCAAGCTAGCACGTTATGGCACAGTGCTACAGTGGAGAAAAGCATGGTTGGTCCTTCCATTGCAGGCTCTTGGAATGGACTGCTTTGAGACTCCTCCTCAGACATCCCCACTGTCCTTTCATGCATGAAAGTGGAGGTAGATGATTTCCAAAGCAATTAAGTACCATAGGAACCAACAGAGTCAACAGGACTAAGGACCTCGTGACACATTTGATACAGACAAGAAGGCTTTAGGGAGCACATCTTGCGTATCCCAAATGTCTGTCCTTGCAAAAGTTGTTTGTAAGTCCATGTTGTCTTTATCCTATTGGTTTTCTTTGCCAAGCCTCTGCCTCTCCACTTCCCCACAAGGTCTGGAAGCAGATGGCATCAGGGAACACCACAGGAAAATCAGGCAAACCCTTCTCATTTCTGCAGCCCACAGCTGGGTATGCTCTCAGCATGCCAACTCCACCCAGTTATGAGCACATGATTTGGAGAATGCATTCCCCAAGTTAATTCTCGCTGTTCTCAGTTACAACTGATGGAAAGAAAACTATGTCAAATGCCTTGAGAGGTTTCAGTTAGTTAGTGATGATTAACCTGTGCAGCAGAAGCAAAGCAACATGGACTGTGCATAGGTTATAAGTCTGATAGCTCTTCTTTAGGGACAACAGATCTTTGATAATGGCACATTCAGGGCTAAATCTCATTCTGACTTTCAAAAAAAAAAAAAAAAATGGAGCCTTAGGGATTTCTGATCCCAGAGTGCCTTTTCTACCTTTTGCTGGAGTTATTTCAGAGTAGCTCTCATTAGAAAAGTTCTACTGATTGTAAAAGTTATTTCACATGTCTCTACACTAAAGCTGGCAGGAGAAATGTCATAAATCACTGATATCCTCCTGATGTCCCCATTTCCACACATGAAGACAAGGACTGAAGGACAGTTCAACATCTTCCAGCAAGGAAGAGATGGAACAAGATCAGGCCAATGCAATCTGAAAAATCGTGTCACTGGGGTTGGGCACAATATGGTGACTCCAGAAGGTATTTAGAGTGCTGCACTTTCTAAGCATTGCAGGGGCTGTCAAAAACTGAGACAAAGCCTTCAACATGAATGGAATAATTTCCTTGAAAGCTAGACCTTGCTCTCTAAGATTTTAACTCCAGAAGGTAGCCAAGCACCAACTTTAGTTGGAAACTGGGCTTCTAACGTGAATGGCAGCTGCTGGGTTTCCTTGGGGATAGCAGGAGTTCCCTGCACTGATGTAATGCCTTAGGAACTAGAGAGGAAACCTGGCAGCACTGCAAACACCTGAAATAAGGCCAGCTCATTTGATGACAGCAGCAGAGGAGGTGTCAAGGGAGTCTTTGCAAGGTTATATGCACATCAGTTGGTAGAGAGTACAGCGATTGTTAACAACTGATTAAGTCATTACCCTGGTAATGGCCAATTTGGAGCCATGCTTCAGAAGCCAGATATTGTGTGGGAGGTATTTTAACTTACCCTGCACATTACTGCATCAGTTGGGTTATGCGTTCTCTATGTGTACACATACACACACATACAGTCTCTCAATTTTCTGTAATGATTTCCTGATGTTCAGTGCATGCTTGGTGACAGGAAAGGAAAAAATGTCACAACAAGGCCATTCAGCAGCTGCAAAACTGCCTGCATCCAAGAGAAAACATTTTTTCACTTCAGAAAGGAAAAAATTGAGGGTGGTATGTGTCCTGTACAGCTGTGAAAATATGGAAAGGGAATGCCTTTTTCTTCCCCAGTTGCACAGGCTGCAGAGGAACTTTCACAGGACCACAGCTGAGAAGGGACTGGCAAGGTGGAAGATTAAGGGGACTCCAGCTTAAAAGGTGGCCATGTGCCCCTCATTTAATTGAAATAACCCTAGAACAATGGCTTCAATCCCAAAAAAATAAAAAAAATTAAAAAAAAAAAAAAGCCACAAAAAAAACTCACAAACAAAACAAAACAAAAAGTCCCAAATGGTGGGCCTTGGGCCTTCTCTATGTGGCAAAGAGAGACAATTTCCAAAGAGCAATTATTGTCCCATTGCCGCACTCCCTCCCGAAAGCTTGCTTCCGCCCCGGCTAGCTCTCCACTCGGGAGAGGAGCGAGCAGGTTCCCAGCGCTCCCCGCTGGACCACCTTGGGCTTAGGGGAGCGCTGGGTGGGTAGAAAGGAGGAAACCGGATCCCCACGGCAAAGAAAAGAAGATGGTCCTAATCCGGGGGCTTAAATCTCCTTTAATAAATCCAATGCAGAACACAGAGAACCAACGAAAAGTGTTGGTGCCTGCCGGAGAACGCACCGGGAGGAGGGTGACATCGGTTTATAAACTGGGTAGGAGGGGAGTAACACAACCAGTGGGGAAACAGTGGGGAGTGGCTCGTGTATGGGGTGACATGGTGAGGGGACCAATGGGAAAGGAGTATGGGAGGGGCCCCAGGCCCTTGCCCAATCACCCAATGCCCTGCGTGGAAGCTTCTGGATGGATGGGCTGGGATGCTGGATGACGGACAAGGCACCTGGGAGGGGACAGGGGAATGACTATGCACTTTTGGGGAGGATTGACAGGAGAGGAAAGGCGGGAAACTTGGGGGTGAACAAAATACAATAATGGGGTACATGGAACAAACCAACTACAATATAGGAGTACATCGAACAAAACCACGTACATAATATAAACGCAACAAAACATAAAATAACACAACTCCACATCCCATATTCTGGTTCTGAGGATGTTCCCATCTTGTGCTCCCCTTCCTCACCCTAAAGGCCCCAAAGCTGAGGGTGAGGTGAGTCAGATCCTCCACAAAAACAGACAGTAATCTGCTCAATGTATATGAGAAGACCTGTGCCTAGAGCAGCATTCCTAGGAAAACCGAAGGGAACTACTCGTGCTGTGAAAGCAGTAATCCAAAAATAAAGGCCAATTAGGAAATAAAGGCCACTTAGAAGAATGCCACAGTATAAATCCAAGAATCAGAAATTCAGCATCCTGTTTCAAAGTCATCCCCTAATCAAAGCTCCAGAAAACAAATTAATGGCATCCTAGTGATACATGAACCATCTTAATAATTAAAAGTGGCCTGTAATTTAGTGTCATGGTTTGACACGGAAAAAGAATTTTTCCGGAAGGAAGAGGTCAATTTGGACATTGACCAATTGAAGGTAGACACGCCTCTGAGAACACAGAGGGGTTAAAAGCAGAATTCCCAGGAAAACTTGCCCTCTTGGGTTCCGGTCAGCGGTCAGTGCAGGACTCTCCCCTGCCCGGCCACGAGCTGGGTGGGGGAGGGGAGAAGCCATGTGGCCTTCGGAGGTAGGTCCAAGGATGGAGGGACTGGAACCGGGCTGGCCCCTTGCAGATGGAAGGGTGGAGAAATCTGGGATGTCTCCGTTCCCCCCAGAGTCTCTCTCTCTCTCCCAAGATGGAAAAAGAGACGGCGGTGGTTTTATCAGCAGTTCGCCGCGGGGAAGGAGAAGAGCGGGGGGGCCGCAAGGTGCCCAGCTGGGCTGTGGGAGCTGGAGCCTGGGCAGCGAGCCATCCTTGGGAGTTGGGACTTTTAACCCTTCCTGAGAAATGAAAGCTTTGTGAAATTTTTCTCCTCCTTGGTTTGAAAAGAGAGGAAGAGAGACAGCCTGGGACCTGGGATGTTGGAAGGAGAAGTTCTAGGTGGGAGGAGATGATGGAGTGGCTTTTGGCTGGACTTTTTCTTGGTAGCCACAGATTGAACTGATCTTCTCCTCCAAGAGAGACTGTATTTTAGGAGGATGCCGGTGAGCCAAAGAGACCTGCTTCAGCTGGGAAAAGACAGAAGTGGAGCGAACAGAGAAA